TTACAGGGGAAAAAAGGTAATATATTAAATATCAGTAACACATATTATAATGCTTTTTTAACCTGGACTGAAGAGGAGGGGTTTAGTTTTTCTTCATACCAATTTTCTAAAATCACTGCGATATCAGCAGTGACGTAACACCATCATTATGGTTCTAAATGTCAGGATGAGCCGGAGGTGCGCCCATGTAGACCATCGGGTAACTGCGAGCAAAAAGACTGGTGTAGCTCCACTCTCCACAGGGCTAATCACAGACTAGGACTAGATTACAAATCTTGGTTTAGTCCTGGTTTAGTCCTGGTTCAGTCCTCGGTTCAGTCCTGGTTTAGTCCTGGTTTAGTCCTGGTTCAGTCCTCAGTTCAGTCCTCAGTTCAGTTCTCAGTTCAGTCCTGGTTTAATCCTGGTTTAGACCTGGTTTAGTCCTGGTTCAGTCCTCGGTTCAGTCCTGGTTTAGATCTGGTTTAGTCTTGGTTCAGTTCTTGGTTCAGTCCTCAGGTTCAGTCCTGGTTTAGTTCTGGTTCTGTCCAGACACGTCGTTGTTATTTGACAATCAGCTACAGTTATTTTGGTGAGAGCAGAAGTGCTGCAATAGTCAAGTAATGTCTTACATTTGAAATGCAGTACTGTTGTAATGTAACAAATTACTTTGAAATGACAGTAACAAGTCATAAATAACACATTACAGTTCTGAAGTAACTTGAAATAACTTGCCCAACAGTTGTGGAGAGGCAGTCTTGCTCACACTATGAATGTATGTTTCAAGGTATTTTTATGACAGTAAACAATGAATACATTCAGAAAAGATGAGTCATTTTCCTCCATTTGACTTTAACCATACAGAGAAACATTACAGGCAAATCTGTAACCAAAAAAGTTACACAGTGCACCTTTAAATAAACCAGAGAAATAAGTGTCATAACAAAACATTAATGGTATGATTAGATGACTCTGTGAAGCATTGTGAGAAACTACTGTGGTCTGTCTGTGCTGTTGTTGGAATAATTGCAGTCACATCAGATTTGTATGGAGAGTGAGTCTTCTCCTAGTCCATTCCAGCCGATGATATTGACAGATCACATAGTTAACATAATTACGCTCAGGTATTCTCTGTGTACGTCTACTGCTACATTGATGTATTTGTGTTTTGTCTTAGCTGTTGTTTGCCATATGTCCTTGAGAACCCAGTATCCACATGCATCTGACTCACAACAGAGAGGTGTTTTATCAGACTCCAGCGACAGTATACCGACAGAACAGGAGGACAGTGGCAAAGCATTAGACCAAATCACTGCCTTTGATTCAGAGATCAAGAGAAACATCCAGAAAATTGCCCTATTTTGGTGTATTTTGATGTCTATGTCGGCATTGAAACATTTTTGAAACTACCGTGCTGTGCAGAAGTTTTTAAGAGGTCTACAAACTCCTTCAACTTCAATTAGATGTTTTATGTTTTGTATGTTGGTGTTTTTTTTATCTTATTTTTGTTTGTTTATCACCCACTCTCTTACAAATAATATAATTCTTTCACATTGTATATGGCATTAAGATTACCAATGCAAAATCATGACTCAACCTCCATTTTTGCACATATTATTATTATTTACATATTCTTAAAAAGTCCACCACACAAAACAAACTACATTCCTCATAGTGACAAATCCTGTTGTCACTCAGCCTGCCCCAGCCCAGCCAACGTTGGCATAGCGGCGAACTGTTTGATAGATAGAGGGTAACTAGCAAAGATGGAGAGCCCGGTTCACTGCTTTTGTGTTTGGTTTTATCTCGGCACAAAGGCACAGAGCGGCTGCTGCTGGTACTTCTGCGCACAGGGAGAAGATAGCTATTGTTTTTACAGCTTAAAAACTACACAGAGAATTGTAAGGTTTATTAACACCAAATGCATTTACATATTAAATAAAAATAGTAATTAAACATGCTGTTACAATTGAGCTACTGAACTACAGTTTCTTTTCATATACAGTGGTCCCTTGTTTATCGCGGGGGGTTACGTTCTAAAAATAACCCACAATAGGCGAAATCCCTGAAGTAGTCAGCTTAACTTTTTATAATTATTATATATATTTTAAGGTTGTTAAAACTCTCACCACACACTTTTCTCAGACAGGACAGTTACAACCCTTTTTGCATCCTTATTAAAACTTAATGCTGCTGTCGTCCTTATGTTATTTTCCTCCTTCTTTATGTAACAAACTGAAGATTAATTTATTCTGTAATGGCGTCCTACAGCCAGCGCTTAAATTCTACCTTTCTTCAGTATGTCCAGAAGTCAAACTTTTTGTGCGATGGCCTTTGTCGGTGCACAATGTTTTGTCGACATTGTGGGTTTTGTCGAGGAGAAAACTTGCAAACATACAGCACTTCAGAATCACACTGCAAGCGATCGAACATTTATGTGCCTTTGTCAAGCTGATCACATTCTGTACTGTACAGGAGACACGGCATGGAGGAGACTGATTGACAGTGGTCTTCAGTCCCTTAGCCAATTAGGACACAGGGGGAGGAACACAATGAGTATTCATACTCTGTAAAAAAAAAAAAAAAAAAGCATGCCAAATTGCACACAAAAAAATTCAAGAAACAGTGACGCCACGATAGGTGAACCGCATTATAGTGAGGGACGACTGTAGAGCTGATCCTAAAGATGCACTTTGTATCTTTTCTGTTGGAGGTTCTGCCACCTGCTTGGTAATGGCATCTGGTCAAGTTACAGGTCAGATCTATGAAGAGGCAACCCCACTCATTGTAAGAATATATGTTTTGTAAGATATTTTGAGCCATAAAATACCTGTGATGGAATTAGCATAAGATTTAAATTCAAAACTGTGGATTTTTTATTCAGTATTGTGGAAAATTCCAAGCAAAGCAATAACATTTCCATGGAGACAAGCAGGTAGAGGACCCCCAACCAGAAAAGTTACACAGTGCACCTTTTGCCATTATGGATACAACTTTGTTTCAAGACAGGCCACGCATTCCTCTCCATTTAGGACCGGCACTAGAGTGAGCTCAAGTTTTAGTGTGAAATTCCAAAACACGGACATAAGCATTTACAGATGAGTTTTAGATTTTAGTAAACGTTCTCAAAACTGTTTACGCACTTTATATTAGTCCTTTTTCTGTGATGATGTTTGCATATAAACACTTAAAATACCAGGTCGTTCCATCTGACTGAACACGCAATCTTTTCATTCCCAGGTTTGTGCATAAATGAGAGGATAACCTTGGCCATGGCGGAGCATCTTGTTAGCCTATGCTTTATAAATCTGATACATTCCCTTCATCTCCCTAGCCCTGGTCATCAAAGTGAAATTTAAATGCTGAGTAATACTGTTGCTGCCAGGACAGGGATGAGAGTTATGGCCCCCCCTTTGCACGACTGGCTGCCTCATAATAGCTCTATTTTGGTCGTCCTGCTGAATCATGGGTCATCTCTTTGCCGCCTTGATCTCCTTGATTTATCCGCGCACACAAAATCTTTCTCCGCAGATGCCCTCCCATGCACCGTCCTCATTTTGCTCTTTGCTAATACCTGCGTTCAAATCGGAGGATGAATAATTTTGTGAATGAACTATGGTGTGAGTCATTTTACCATGCCCTAAAGCAGATGGATCCTTTATGAGCTATGGTGTGGTATTAATAAACCAAAACAAGGGTGAGAGGAAGGCCATCCCGAATGTGGAGGCATTGATTTTTGCGGACAGACTTGAATCATTGTGTTAAAGCTATTGTCGGAAAAGCTGAAATATAACCCAGTTCTTTTCATTGGAGTCAGCTTTGCTTTGATCCCGGTACAATGGTTCGGATAGTAACTACATTGACCTGAGATTTTCCTCAAAATAAAGAACAGAAAAGGCCTGGCAGACATCAGCGACCCACTCTACAGGTTCATCTGCGAGTGGATTAGAGCGATATTATTCATCTGCACTTGTAAAGCAACAAATCCCAGCGCTAAGAACTGAACAAAGAGGGTCAGAGAAACTTGTACTGAATGAAATCAGCTATAGTGACACCTTTAGAGATCCTTCTGTGACATCTAGCGAGCTTTGGTTTTTGTACCTTTCCTTCAATTCTGTGAATATGCAATGTTTTTTTGTGTTTTCAAGAAAAAATATGTTGTGTTGACCTATAAATGTATTTATTTCTTATAAGCACTGTTTGGAGTAACATGTTATAAAATAACAAATTACTGTAATGCATTGCTTTTTGCTGTAACACAGTAATGTAAGGCATTACAGGGAAAAAAAATTAATATTTTACTTGGTACAAATGTCAGTGTTGCGTGTCACAATGCATTTTTAACCTGGAAGTGGTGAGTTTTCATTTTTCCTGGTTTAGTCCTGGTTTAGTCCTGGTTCAGTCCTGGTTCAGTCCTGGTTTATTCTTAGTTCAGTCCATATATGGCGCAAAAGTTTGGCATCTTTGCTCACTGATTGTTATTTGACGATCGGCAACAGTTATTTTGGTGAGAGTAACTTAGAAGTAATGCAATAGTAGTGTAATGTCTTACATTTTAAATGCAGTAATATTTTAATGTAACAAAATGACTGTAATAAGTAATAAATAACACATTACAGTTTTGTAGTAACTTGCCCGACAGTGCTTATGAGCAACATTGAATGTCTTTTCTTTCAGGTGAAAAGGAAAGGTAACTCAAGTCTTGTCTTTGCTTTGGAGAACATACTAAATAATAATGAAATTAAAGCCACCCCAATCAAGACATTGTAAATTTAGTGCTTGTAGAACCTACAGTGACTTACATGTCTTACGTTAGTGAAGAATGCATTAAAACTAACTATGTTTGTTTGCCAACCTTTTTTGACTGGAGGTTGTTCTAAATGTAATCAAATTTCATTCCTCTTTTAAATCAGTACAAAATAAACCATATTGATTATAAAATATAGTAAATTTAGTAGAGATCTCATAAATACATGCAGCAAAATATACTGTTTTTATAGTATCCTCATCATCTCTCCTTACAGCCATCACCTACACCCCTAGCTACAAGAAGGACCCCCCTCCTGTCCCTCCGCGCACCACCTCCAAACCTCTCATCTCCATCACGGCCCAGAGCAGCACCGAGTCCACCCAGGACGCCTACCACGAGGGCCGCCACCTCCACACCTCCATGTGGACCCCCGACGGCCTCACCCTGGGCCTAAGTCCTGGCAGAGCCCTGTACAACTCCACAGACAGCTTGGACAGCACCAAGGCCGTCACTTTAGCCATGGAAGCGGCCAAGGCCATGGCAGGGAAGAGGCACCCATCCACAGACAGCCATAGCTCAGTGCTCACGTGCGACAAAGCCATCCTCGTGTCCAAGGCGGAGGAGTACCTGAAGACACCTCGCTCCTCTATTGGCATACAGGTCAGGAAACAGGTTTATGTTTATTTGGTAAAGAAAAAAGGTTGGGGTTGAAGTTAAAGGTGCAGTGTGTAACTTTTCTGGTGGAGGATCCGTCACCTGCTTGTCTCTATGAAGATTTTGACGCGGTGTTTCTCAGTATTGCCGTGTTTTTGAATATTGTATTAGAGGCAAGTTACAGATCTGATCAGTGGAGGTTCAAGCCTGCTCACAGTTAGAATACATGTGTTTCTCTGTATATTTCAGCAAAAACACACAATTAAATAGCAATACACTGCAAAAAATGTAGTCAAATTAAGATGACTTGAATTAAGAATGATTTGAGTAAATTTCACTTGACACATAAAATTATCTGCCAGTGGAATAAGACTTTTTGTACTTTAAATATAAAAATACATCTTGCTACACTTCAAATAAGAAAAACAACAAGTTTTTGCACTTAAAATAAGAAACTAAATCCAATGTTGCTTGAATTAAGAAAAACGCACTTATTCCATTGGTAGATCATTTTACTTGTCAAGTTGAATTTACTCAAATAAGGTAAAATGTTCTTAATTTAAGGTTGTATAGAGGATTTTCCAAGGAACGAGAAATCCAGCGACTGTTTGTCCTTTTTCAAATGTTGCGCATGCGTGAAACCACCCCCCCTCCCCTACAGCTCCCTACGTAGAAAGCCTCCTCCCGCCTCCTTACGCCAGAAACAGGTTTGTTTACAGCCGGTGCTGCACATGACTTGTAAACAACTAACTACAGTGTTAGTTAGGCAAGGTGGAGAAGTGAGGAGCGGGGGAGCGGGTGCGCGGACATTTCGTTCACGGACGAGAAGTGAGGAGCAGGGAGAAGAGCGGAGCAGGGGAAAGAGCGGATCGGGCAGCGGGGACAGGAAAGGGGTGCAGAGAAGGTTGCGCGGAGATTCCGTGCGAATGAACTAGCTACAACACGCAGCAGCAAGCGGACTCTTTCTTTGCCTTGAAAATTACGTTTCAGACATAGGATATCGCTTTCGTGTCCTGAAAAACGTTTGTCTAGCTCTTGGAAATAAAGTACGTTTTCATAATAAGCAGAAGTGACCTGTCCAGGAGTAATTTGGCGACCAATGCGTCAGTCTTTAGACCCTGCGTCTGCTTCAGTCGCGCCCTCGCTGGAATGAATCTTCAAGAATGACCTTAGTTTAGCTTCGCTGCTTTTCCCCTTGTCTTCTTCTTTCAGCGACCTCAAAAACGGACTTTCTTTTGCGGCTAACTGCTCCTGGATTCTTGTTGCCATTGCAACAAACTTTGTGCTAACTGCGAGGAAGATATAGGTCAAAAAAAGCCGCTAAGAACTGTTGCGTTGGTGGAGTAAACAGCGTCTGTGCGGCTTGCGTCTGTGGACTGCGTGACAGGCGTACGTAAACCACGTACCGGCGGCGCGCAGGCAAGTCAGTTACGCTAGAAACTTAGGGAGATTGATTGACAGCCTGTCAGCTAACAGATAACGAGGCAGTGTCGTTATCTATTGGCAAATGTTTAGCTGGCCCCACCACGTCCAGAGTTGATGAATTTTTATTCTCTTTTTTTTGTCATCATAATTACAAGGCTACTGCACCTCTATAATGCTATCATTGACAACTTGAAACAAAAACAAACAAAAAAAAATCCTCCATACAACCTTTAAGTCATTTTAACTTACCTAGATATTGTTTTTTCCCAGTGTAACATCTCTATGGAGACATGAAAATTTCCATTGTACACCTTTAAATTCTTTTGGTTTGGAAAAGTTAAAAATATGATGAGATTATAATAGGACAGTTTTGGTTTGGGTTTAGATATTTAGGTATTAATTTTGGCTGATGTTTATAAGTATAACCACAGCTGTTTTCACAAGAAGTACTTGTAGCTGTTACCTGGAGCACCAGTGAATCAGGTATGTCAACAGCATCTAAACAGCAAATTAAATGAAATTATTACATGAATAAACTTTTGCCCTAGAGCAGAAATAAATTACTGAAATAGAAACACCAAACAAATGTTGGTTTTGAATTCGCTTGGGTAGCTAATCGTCTGGTGCAAACATAGCCTCTAGGGAAGTACATCAACAAACTATTATATCTTAATTGTACCTCTAATTGTTCAGCATATAACTATATAAACAATGCAGACTTAATTCTCTCCCCATTGCTAAAAGTAACATGGCCAAGTCAGGGGGTGAAAACTCTGCTCTGTTTTCTTTTCTAAAAATAGCCCGAGTGAGTCATTTTACCGCAATCCATCAATTAAGATTCAAGTCAGGCGGAGCAGGTTTTAGTGAATGGTTTGTAGCCATGGTCCATTCATTCCCCACCCACTTACTGTACCTTCTTCTGCCTCACACTCAGCCTCCTCCTGCTCCAGCCCCATTTTCTCTTTGTGCAATTTCACCTCCTATTTCCCATTATCTCAGTGTGGAATTGTTCCCCCCACAGCCACAGGTCCAACCATTACTCATCTCTCACTCTTACAGACTTTGTTGTTTTGCTTTGATCGTAAAATAAGCGATGGTTGACTCTAGCGAATAAAATATTTCAAGATGAGGCCTGTGTAACAGTGCTATGTCTGTTTTTAACTTCCCACACATGTAGTATGTTTAGCACTCATGGGTGGATTTTTGTATCTAGTATTTGAAGATGCCTGATGTAACTTTTCTAGTGAAACAATGAAAACACAACATACAAGGCAGAGCAGTAACAAACACCTCAGTGGAGTCAAGTAGGTGGTGGACTTTCCACCAGAAAAACTACATAAAAGTCAACCAAATATATATGGTTTATAAATACTTCCAGCTGAAATGCACTAGCTGTGAGTATCTCTGTCCAGTTATTTTTTATTGCTTTTATGTGCAACCTTTTAAAAAAAACTGAATAGTTATAATATATATATTTTTATTTTAGCATATGATTTTGAGTCCTTAGCACTTCCCCTCTGACTCCAGGTTTGGGCACACATAATCATTTAGTTCTCCCATGCTCTCTTACCCCTATCCCCTGACAAAGGATACTTTAAGCTGAATATAAAGCGATCATAATGAATTGGACAGTATTAACCGTCTCTGTATGGTATTATGTGTCATATTTCACAGTGTCTCTGCCTCAAGACACTAACAAAATAAAACAGGCTGCTTGACCATTCAGCGCATTAGTTAATATCACAGGAAATGACATGACTGTAGCTGTGAACAGTTCTGTGGCCTGAATACTTTTTATAGCCATCATTATACTGTATGTACCATAATAGTATTTTTAGATTGAGTTAAATGTCAGTGCGTTCACATATTCACACTTGTTTGAAGCCGAGGACAGGGTGAACTGCTGCATTCATTCTGTCCGATCTGAACCAGCGCTCCACACTTAATCACTTGTGCTTCCCATTCAAACTCCCTGATCTCCCTCATCTGTGCCTCCACTCCACTGAGCACATCACACATCTCTGCTTACTCTATGGATCCGCTGGCAGATCAGTCACTCTGGAATGATCATTTGATAAGTGGTTAATTTAAAATAGAAGCTTGTCGTCACGCCTCACTAAACGTCAGGTTTGGTGAAACAAATCTTTCCAAATGAATACACGAATGGGATCTGACTCACTCATTACTAAGAGAAAGTCTAAAGGGGTAAACAATGATAAATCAAATGAGCCTAAATTATAGCTGGGTAAAAAGGAAATCATTGTAATTGTCCAGTTAGCTCAGTCATGTGTTTACTTTGGTTTGGCTCCTGGTGTTAAGACAACAAGACAGATGCATCCATGTGTTTGTGTTTAGCTACATAATATCATCCTAAAGTCTAGTAAAGGCCTTTAAAGTAGACATTTTGCTAGTTTAAACAATATATATACGTTATTTTACATTAAATTCACTGGATTTTTTTATGGAAGAGTATGGAAAGGAAAGGAATGTTGTTACAAAAGTACACTGTGATTTATTAACAGGCTTGTTTGTTGAGGAGTGTCTCAGAGGTGGGTCCAAGGCATTGTTTTGCAAGTCTCAAGTAAATCAAGTCTTTGACCTCAAGTCCGAGTCAAGACCCAAGTCAAATACAGGCAAGTCCAAGTCGAGTCTCGAATCACTTCTCCAAGTCAAGTTCAAGTCGTCTGCTTTGAGCTTCAAGTCATTTCAAGTCTTTAAACCAAAGTACCAAATATAGCTTAGATTTTTACAATTTATATGAATTTTAAACTAAATTGTACTTAAAAAAATATAGTATATCATAGTATATTTATATATGAGTATTTATAGAATATGTAAATTGTAGAAATGTAAATTGTTCCTTTTTAAATGTCTTGACAAGATTTTAGTGTGAATCATTATGGTCAGAATAGAAAGAATTCAGGTTAAAAAGTGCTTCTCAAGTCTTGTCAAGGCACGGGCCTCATGTCAAAGTCAAGTCCCAAGTCACTGTCAAGTCAAGTCCCAAGTCACTGACTTGAGTCCAAGTCACGACTTGCAAGTCCCACCTCTTTACTTAAAATAAAAGTTACACTTTCATAGTATGATTCTTCATGGTTACAAAAGTAGTCCACACTTGAGATTATGGAACTATAAGACCACTGTATAAACTTTACTGTAAGAAAGCCTTTATAAATGTATTTATTAACCTGCCTTCTGTTATAATCACATTGAGCATGTTTATTAAGGGCTTGAATACAACCCGTGAATCACTTGGTTTGTTAGTAATAGTATAATAAGCAGCTTATTGATGCTCACACTAATGTTTTGTTGTTAATGCCTTATTAATATTATAAAGTATCGACAAATTATGTGTAAGTGCTTAGGAACAAATGAGTGCTTATTATCGCCTTATCTAATTCTTTGCTAAGGAACCTTCTTTTAAAGCATTGCCAACTAAACTAATGTATCTCAATAATTAGAGTATGAAATAATTTGTTAGTCTAGTTAGTTCAAGGATTTGCGTTCTTTATCTTGTCATTTATTAGGCCACAAAGGGCTACAGTGCAGGATAATACAAAGTAACAAGCTGTACAATTTTA